GATTCTGGGACTAACCAAAGAACCTGGTTATCAGGGCCAATTGTATCTCCCTAAATAAAGATACTGCTATTGGCCCTGGCTGGTGTCGCTCAGTTGAGTGTCATCCCACTGAGAGGTTGCCAGTTCGATTTTGGGTCAGGGCACATGTCCAGGTTACGGGCTCAATCCCCAGTAAGGGGCCTGCAGGAGGCAGCTGATCAATGTTTCTCCCTCTTCCTTCCTCTCTAGAATCAATAAAAAGGTGTGTTTTTTTTTAAAAGATAATGCTGCCCTAGCTGGTTTGGCTCAGTGAATAGAGAGTCGGCCTATGGACTGAAAGGTCCCAGGTTCGATTCCAGTCAAGGGCACATGCCCGGGTTACGGGCTCTATCCCCAATGTGGAGCATGAAGGAGGCAGCCAATCAATGATTCTCTCTCATCACTGATGTTTCTATCTCTCTCCCTCTCCCTTCTTCTCTGAAATCAATAAAAATATGTTGTTTTTTTTAAAAAGATAATGCTTTTGCGGGCATGGTGTTGAACAGCAAGAGCAAGCAAACAAGAAGACATAAATCCCTTCTCCCTCATCCTGCCTCCCACTCTTCCTCTAATACCCCCCTCCTCACAAAATATATAAAGCCAGCAGAGAATGGAGAAATGATGGATTCGGGGCTGACAGAAATAACAGATTCAGGTGGTATATAGCATGAAAGATCCAATATGTGTCTCATGTAAGTTCTAAAATGAAAGAATCAAGGAAATGAGGCAGAGAAATTAATCAGGTATAATGGTTGAGGTTTTTCTTGATTACATGAAAAACAAATCCTCAGATTTAGAAAGCAAGTAAAACTGGATATAAATTACTGAATTATAGGACATATGGCCACAGAGAGATTTAGGAAAGACATTCCTAGAGTATGTTCTATAACAGTGATCGCAGACTTTACAGAAGCAACAATAGGATTCAAAAGAAAATGGAATTGGATGCTGTATTAAGTTTCCTAGGGCTAGAATAACAAATGATCATAACTAGGTGATTTTTAACAGCAGAAATTTATGTACTCTGAGTTCTGGAGATTAGAAACCTAAAATCTAGGTGTTGTTATAAAGTCAGGAAAAAAGCAAAGATTTCCTCTGTCATTGCTTCTGTTTCACATTGTATTGTTTTATAAGGGTTAGAGGAACACATGACGCCACAACAAGGATGCCACCAGCTAAATCCATAATGTGGGAAATTCTACAAGGACAAAATGACCAAGTTTCTCCAACAAATAAATTGGAGTGGACACTTAGAAATGCAGCTAGATTTAAGAGACATATCAACCACATGCAGTATAAGGACCTTTGGGATTTGATTCAAACAAACCAACTTCTTAAAAAATTATTGAACATGTGGGAAATTTTGACCCTTGCTCAATATTTGGTAATAAATAAATCATATTATAGTCTTAAAATTCATACAGAAGAGCAGAGGGCCAAGGATAGCTGAGATAATTTCCAAAAACAATATGGTAGGAACACTCATTCTACCAAATAGCAAAAGTGACAGTGAGTGAGATCATGGTATTGTATAGAGATGGATGATAAGAGCAGTGAAATAGAATGCCCAAGATAGGCCTGGAGGGAACATGTGAAATCTTTGATAAATGGCACCAGTACAGTTGCTTATTGGTAGGGGACAGGTGGGGAGGTGATATATCTCACTTATACAAGAATAAGTTCAAGATAGACTAAAGGTTAAAACGTTTTTGAAGAAAATATAGGCAAATATTTTCAAGATGTTGAGATTAAAAAGACTTTTTAAGTACAAAGAGTTCAACTATAGGGGGATAGAGATTGATATATTAATTGTATAAAACTTACATATGGCAGAAACACCATAAACAAAGTGAAAAGACAAACCATGGAGTAGAAAAAGATAATTTTCACACATAATCAAAAAGATTATTTAAAGCACTTATACAAATCAGTAAGAATTCCAAAATCCACCCTAGCCAGTTTGGCTCAGTGGATAGAACATCAGCATGTGGACTGAAGGATACAGAGTTTAATTCTGGTCAAGGGCACGTGCCCGGGTTGTGGGCTCGATCCCCAGTGAGGGGCTTGCAGGAGGCAGCCGACCAGTGATTCTCTCTCATCATTGGTGTTTCTATCTCTCTCCCTCTCCCTTCATCTCTGAAATCAATAAAAATATGTTAAAAAACAAAATTCCAAAATCCACAGGGAAAAAAGGTCAAAGTATGCAAGCAGGAAATTCACAGGAGAGGGTTGCTTAGTGGCCAATAAACTGAAAATTTGTTCATTATTATTTGAATCAGAAAAATGAAAATGAGCCCTAGCCAGTTTGGAAAAAAGCAAAGATTTGGTGTGGACATCAGTGGATAGAATGTCAGCCTACAGACTGTAGGGTCCCAGGTTCGATTCTGGTCAAGGGCATGGATCTTGGTTACAGGCTCAATCCCAGTGCAAGAGGTGGCCAATCGATGTCTCTCTCACTTCGCTATTTTTCTCTCTGTCTCTCCCCATCTCTTCCACTTTCTAAAAATCAATGGAAAAATATCCTCAGTGAGGATTCACCAAAAAAAAAATGAAACCATCAAAATTCCATGTCATACTCGTTAGTTTGGCAAAATGCTAACTTTTATCATACCAACTGAGGGTGAGGTAACTAAAATTACTATTGAAAAAATAGCTATAACCCTTAATAGCTATAGCACTTTGACAATGCCTAATAAAGTTAACCTCTATACAGTGGGGCCTTGACTTACGAGTTTAATTCGTTCCGTGACGGAGCTCGTAACTCAAATTACTCGTATGTCAAATCTTAAAGTGAACGAGTGAGACACGTGATGCTGGGCTGATGTTGTGGCGTTCACTGTGACGTTCGCTGCGCCAACTAGCGGTGGGGTATCTGAAGCTGGCTCGTAACCTGAATTTTAGCTCGCAACTCAAAGCAAAAAATCAGCCGAGAGACAGCTCGTATCTCAAAAAACTTGTTAGTCGGGACACTCGTAAGTCAAGGCCCCACTTTACTTCTCTATCTGGCAATTGCACTTCTGGATTTGTATCATAGAGGGCTTTCATGCATATGCATAAGAGGGCTTTTTAAAAGAATGGTCATCATTATAACCTATAATAATAATAGCGTAATATGCTAATTAGACCGAATGTCCTTCCGGACAAAGCCAAGGGGGCCGAGGCAGAAGCAGCTGCCACAGCGGCAGGGGCCATGGCAGTGGGGGCCAAGCCCCTTGCACGAATTTCATGCATTGGGCCTCTAGTCCTATATAATAAAAGCCTAATATGCTAAGTGTCCAGTTATCCATTCAACCAATCAAAGCATAATATGCTAATGATATGCTAAGGCTGCTCAACCGCTCACTATGACATGCACTGACCAATAGGGGGAAGACGCTCAGACCAGTAGGTTAGCTTGCTGCTGGGGTCCGGCCTATCAGGACTGAGCAAGACAGGCCAGACATACCCTTGAGCCCTTCCACAGTCCCTCCCCGGCTGGCCAACCTCCTGTGTCCCTCCCCTGCCCTGATCATGCACCTGCAGGGTCCTTCGGGCTGGCCTGCGCCCTTTGCAATCCGGGCTGAGGGGGACACACACACACACACACACACACACACACACACACACACCAGAGTGCACAAATTTCATGCACTGGGCCTCTACTATTGTTATAAATTGCAAAAAAAAAAATTGCAGTCAACTAGAAAAGGATTATTAAGTTGAGAAATACTGTATTAAAGTTAAGGTGGAAATGTTAAGCTTTGACAGTTTGGTAGATGCATGGGTAATTCATTAGTGTAGTTATATTTTTCTTTAAGCTTGAAGCCATTCTCTTTTTAAAAACAAAACAATTTTTAAAGTTGACAGCAAAATGCCATTGATTAATTAAAGCAAATACTCTAAGTTTATAAATAAAAGTAATGTAGGAACAGAAACAGAAGTCAGACGGAACTTAATAAGGAAAACACTGTTTGCAGAATCATGTCACGCTGATAGCAATGGAAGACATGGGGCCTATCCCTTAGGGAAGAAAACAAGATCTATCCTGGCTTCTCCCTTCCGTTTTTGTGTCTGAAATTGTTCTTCATCCCTTTGCTTTTCTCTTTCTCCTGACCTTCCGATTCCCTACTGGCATCGAGTGCCCCATGGACATGGCTATGAGCCAGAAAAAAAATCATACCTGCCTTCCAGTTCTATGCCATTCCTAGCTGGCATTTTTTCCATGTTCCCAGCCAGACTTGGTAGAGGTCAGCTGCCAGTGTGGGGATTGGTTGAAGAGCAAAGACAATGGATGTGCATGGATGCCTTTGTAAACCTTGAGAACTTGTAGATGCATATAAAATCCTGTATGTGTTTGATTTGAGGGTCTGGCCCTGAAAATATATGTTACTTTTTTTGTTTTTTAATATGTTTTTATAGATTTTTAAAAAGAGAAAGGGACAGGGGAGAGAAACATCAATGAGAGAGAACCATCAATTGGCTGCCTCGTATACACCTCCTATTGGGCATGTGCCCTGACTGGGAATTGAACTGGCAACCTCTCGGTGCATGGGACAGCGCTCAACCACCTGAGCCACGCCAAGCCAGCACTGTATGTTGCTTTTTAGAGAGAAAAAGAAAAGACCTCTGGTAGTGACAAGGATAATCCCTCATTTGGTCTTCTATTTTTTTTCTTTTTCTTCTAATTCATTATTCTTCAGCCTTGCTCTTTTCCCTTTCCACATTCAAGTGCTTGCCTTACCACCCTCATCACTCAACTTGAACTCAGTATGACTAAGATGAAACAGTCTCACTTGTTTTTATTATTCATAAAGTATTCCATGTATAGAATCATCCTAATTACCAAAAAGAAACTGGCAAAGGAAGCACAGGTGACTTCATGATACTACTTTGTGATCTTTATTTCTTCCTTCTCTCACAATGATAAGGATAGTTAGTCAACATGTTAAGTAGAGAGTACTTACTTAACTCACTTGTACCATGATGCTTTGTGTCCATTGTAGACCGAGCTAAGAGGAGAAAGCTCAGGGAAGAAAGGGCATGGCTGCTGGCTCAAGGCAAGGAGCTCCCCCCAGAGCTTTCTCACCTGGACCCTAATTCCCCCATGAGGGAAGAAAAAAAGACTAAAGACCTGTGAGTATTTAATGGTACTAACAGAAGCAACCTGTAACATTTATTAAGCACTTGGGCATTGTGCTAAGTACTCTCTTATTTAATCCTTAAAACAAGACTCTGTGTTAGGTAATATTCCATCTTCATGAGCTTCTCATTCTATTTTATGCTTTTTTGGGTTATTCTTTATATCATAAATATTCACTAGAGTAAAATAAGACCTGGGAAATAATGTGCTATTAAATAACTAACATAATGATAATAAAGTTTTGTGTCATCTATGCTAACCCTCATCTTCATAATTATTTTCTGGAGTGTTACCACTGTTACAAACTTATCATTAATAAAAATTATTGGATCTATTCCAAAACTTGGTGCAACCAACTATGTCTCTGTTTGAATTAAGAGAGTTAAAGAGAGATCAAAGTTACTATTAATTTTTTATTTATGATTTACAGCTTTGAGTTGGATGATGATTTCACTGCTATGTATAAAGGTCAGTTCCATTCTTAACTATTGTGTTTTTTATCAAAGTACTCCTATGTGAGTGTATTAAGCTCTCTTCTTTGGCTCTCAGTTCTAGATGTGGTAAAGGCTCACAAGGATTCCTGGCCCTTTTTAGAACCTGTGGATGAATCTTATGCCCCAAACTATTATCAGATTATTAAGGTAGCTAAACCTACTATACAGTTACACCTATCATGATGTTTGTTTTGCTCTTGCTTTTTGTTGTTGTGTTTTGCTTGAGTTTATTTATTGTTCCTTGAGGGTCAGGGTTGCTGATTGTATACCAGGCTGTTGAGCAACTCAAAACAGCATGATTCCTTTGCCTCATATGGGTTATGAGATGTTTTCTCCAGCATATTGTAATTAAATGTGTCCTGTTTTAGGTACCAATGGATATTTCAAGCATGGAGAAGAAACTAAATGGAGGTTTATACTGTACCAAGGAGGAATTTGTAAATGACATGAAGACAATGTTCAGGAATTGTCGAAAATATAATGGGGAAAGTAGTGGTAAGTGGGGCAGGGGTTTGCTGTGGATGCACATTAGCTGAACTATTGTAACCAAGAATAAAATGCCTTTTAGAAATATACATCTGGCCCTACCTGGTTTGGCTCAGTGGATAGAGCGTCAGCCTGCGGACTGAAGGGTCCCAGGTTCAATTCCAGTCAAGGGCACATTCCTGGGTTGCGGGCTCGATCCCCAGCAGGGGGTGTGTGGGAGTCAACCGATCAATGATTTTCTCTCATCATTGATATATCTATCTCTCCTTTCCTCTCTGAAATCAATAAAAATATATTTTAGAAAAAGAGAGAGAGAGAATAAACCTCATTTACACACACACACACACACACACACACTGGTGATTTAGACCTTTCCTTAGGACTATTAAAAGAATGTGTATTAAAAGCCCTGGGATTGGCCATTCTAACCACTTACACAATATGTGTCAGGAATTCTCTCCTATCTCACACAATAGGAGAGTGTAGCTGGTGGCAACTAGGCTCAGGTTATTTCTCATTCTTCTACAGGCCAGTTTAGGTCCAGTGTGTACTGTGCCTCCTTAACACAGTGTACCACTGATGATAACTCTACCTAGATAGAGCTGATTCTTAAATCATCTTGAGAAGCATACTTGATTAGCTGTCTATGGGTATATATGAGTTAGGTATGGGAACTTGGAGTAATTTGTGCAGTGGCTCGGAGTGCCTTAGTTTAAAACCTAAACAGATTCAGTGATTATATTTAATATTTTTACTGGCTTAGTGTAATGGTTCTAGAATCACTGTCAGCCATGCAGCCTAGAGCCTCTTAGGACAGAAACTCAGTTTGCCCCAATAGCATCTTTTGTTTATCATAGGACAGTTGTCTTTGTTGCCTATAAAAACTATAGCTGGAGGGCAATTCTTGTGTCTTCCTGTAGAGTATACCAAGATGTCGGATAATTTAGAGAGGTGTTTCCATCGGGCAATGATGAAGCATTTTCCCGGCGAAGATGGAGACACAGATGAAGAATTTTGGATCAGAGAGGATGAAAAGCGGGAGAAGAGACGGAGTCGGGCTGGGCGAAGTGGTGGAAGCCACATTTGCACCCGCTCCAGGGACTCCGAAGGGCCCAGCAGGAAACAGCAGCCTGTGGAGAATGGAGGAAAATCATTGCCACCTGCACACAGAGCTCCCTCCTCTGAGGCTGGTCAGAGCGGCAGCTCTACACAGCTCCCTCAGGAGGTGGGCACACCAAGTAACCAAGGCCTTCCTCGTCCCCTGCATTATGGTGGGATGCCCAACCAGGCACCCCTTTTAAACCAGCTGGTAAGAAATAGGAATTCTGCTGAGGTTTCTCCTAGTTGGTGAATTCAGAGGAAAGTAAAGCCTTTTCAATCGGCTCCTCTTCCGTGATAATTTTGCTGTATATGGGTGCTTTTTTCTCCCCTCATCTGTCCTTCCTTTATTCTTCCTTTATTTTAAATCCTGTCTCAATCATTTGAACCACACATTATATCAACATGGGGGGGAAATTGAATAAAAATATCTCAAGTCTTATTATGTATAAAGCACAGAGGTACAGCCCCAGTCCTGTACACCAAATAAAGGTCCTGGGTTCAATTCCCAGTCAGGGCACATACCTGGTAGGTTGTGAGTTTGATCCTTAGGGTATATACAGGAGGCAACCAATCAATGTTTCTCCCCCTCCCTCTCCTTCTCTGAAATCAACAAATATATCCTCAGGTGAGGATTTACTAAAAAAAAAAAAAAAAAAAAAAAAAAAAAGCACAGCACAACATACAATACATAGGGTATACAGCCTCTCTTTGATATTAAAATTTCATGATGGCGGACAATTTGGGGGGGATATTAGCTAAAAAGGCTCTTGGCAGTGAGGGGGCAATAATGAAAAAGATAAACACAAGTTTGTCTCTCCTAGAGAGGGAAAGTGCTATGGGCTCTAGAACTAGTCCTGCTCTGGGTGAGCCCATGTGCCACCATTCTTCCCTTCCTTGGTACTCTGTGCTGGGTCTGTTATGTTCATCTTCAGGAAAGTCCTTATTTCCTTTCTAATGTCTATGCTTTCTTTCCCCACCCCCACTCCTTGCCTTTACTCAATACCCTCCAGAGGCCAGCAGTACCTGGAACATTTGGCCATCTTCGAGGGTCAGATCCTGCCAATGTATATGTCTCCTCGAGAGTCCCAGAACCACACCCTGGGGAGCCTGCGCAGCAGCATCCACCTTTTGCCTTGCAGGTAAGCAACCTGCTCATGACCTGGAGGTATAGTCTCCAAGGTAACTTTTAGAAATGCAAGTGTCTAACCAGGTTAAATTTATTATCATCTCCTATTCTATAGAGTCTATAGATGAAGCACATTACAAGGGATACCTGATTCTATGGGTCTGGTGAATGCCGCTATCTTCTCTTTTCTTGTTGCCAGCCTCCAGTTGGAATTAACAAGCATCGAGGACCCAGGCTGGGCATGCCCGAAGAGAAGCAAATGTGTGGGGGGTTGAGGCACCTTTCTAACATGGGATCACATCCTGGTTCCTTGCCTCTTGGGCAGATGAGTGGCCCCAGTCAGGATAGAAATATGTATCCCCCAACTCAATTCCAGCCAGGATTTATTCCTCCCAGGCCTGGAGGGATTCCAGCCCGACCCCCAGACTTTCCTGAAAGCTCAGAAATTCCTCCCAGCCACATGTACCGATCATACAAATACCTGAATCGAGTACACCCTGCTGTCTGGAATGGGAACCACAGTACTGCAAACCCAAGACCCTTAGGGCCAGATGAAAAGCCCCTCATGGGGACAGGACCGTCCCACCTGCCTCACACTCTTGGTCACATGATGGATTCCCGAGTGATGAGACCACCTCTTCCTCCAAACCAGTGGACTGAACAATCAAGCTTTCTACCTCATGGCATTCCTTCTTCAGGGTACATGCGACCGCACTGTAAATCCGGTGGGCATCGGTTACAGCCACCTCTAGCACCCAGTCCCCTGTTTGGAGCACCCTCCCAGGTTCTGAGAGGGGTGCAAGGAGGGGACTCCATGATGGACAGCCCAGAGATGATCGCCATGCAGCAGCTTTCCTCACGTGTTTGCCTGCCCGGTGTGCCTTACCACCCCCGACAGCCTGCTCCCCCACATTTACCTGGCCCTTTTCCACAGGGAGCTCACTCAGCATCAGTTAGTGTGTCAGCCCCCAAGCCTGCCTTGGGGAACCCTGGGAGGACACAGGATAACAGTGAAATAGAAGAGCCTGAAAATGACCGAGGTAATTTAGTCACTTTTATCTGACTTCTGGCCCTATAAGCGGTTCATTCATGAATAATCTTTTTATACAATATCAAGACAAATATAAACTGATTTTCAGCCTCTTTTTCTTGAACTATTCATGGTTGGGCCAATTGTGGTATTGTTTTTGATCCAAAGATCCAAAAGGATTACTGGCAATAGTGATCACTACACAGATGAGTACCAGGCACTCTTTTTGAGGCTTTTAGATATATTAACTCATTTCATTCTCAGAACAAACCTTCCAGATAGCTACTATTATTAGTCTTGTTTTTACAGATGGAAAATCCAAGACACAAAGATAGTAGATGATTTGCTCTGATCTACCTAGTAAGTGGTGGAACTGAGACTCGAACCCAGACAGACTGGATCCAGCATCCACAGTTTTTGTTGTTGTTGTTGTTTAATGTATTTTTATTGATTTAAGAGAGGAAGGGAGAGGGAGAGATAGAAACATCAATGATGAAAGAAAATCATTGATTGGCTGCCCCCTACTGGGGATCAAGCTCACAACCCGGGCATGTGCCCTTGATCATCAGAATCGAACCCTGGACACTTCAGTCCACAGGCTGACGCTCTATCCACAGAGCCAAACCAGCTAGGGCTACATCCGCATTTTTAATCATGACATCAAACTGCCTTTAAAATTTCTTGTCCTAAAAGGTTATCATTATGAAATAAGTTTTCAATATTTTACTTAAAGTCTAATTATTTCTATCCTTTTATTCCCTGGACACATACCAATATCTACTGAGAATGAAGACTAGTGAGATTTCCCCTGGCCAGAGTGGCTTAGCTGGTTGAGTATGTCTCGTTCACCAAAAGGCCTTGTGGGGTTTGATCCCAAGTCGGGGTATGTGGAGGAGGCAAACGATCAATGTTTCTCTCTCACATTGATGTTTCTCTCTCTCCCTCTCCCTTCCTCTCTCTTTAAAATCAATTTTTTAAAGTGTTTTTTTAATAAGATATTTTCATTCATTCAATAAATATTGATTCCCATTTTGTGCAAATACTGAGGGGTATGGTGGGGAACAAAATAAAGTCACTGTGGAGCTTATGCTCTGATAGGCCACAAGTTGGGGACTGGCCTCCTGTGAGCCATCATTCCCTGGTCTTTTCATTGTGTCAAGTTTTAGAGCTTCCCAGCCTGGTCTACAATTCTAGTAACAACCATACCCTCCTGCCGTATTCCGCATGCATCTAGTTGGAGTCCATGAGCCATGAATCATCTCACTCCCGTCCACTAATCTGTCGGTGACAACACAGGAAGAGGAAGGCAAGAACATCTCCATTATTTGGCAAACCTTTTGAGTAGCTGTAGAGTTGCTAGATCTTGCCTCCTGGTCTACGAAAGGGTCTTGCCTCCTGTGCAAGGGTCTCAACATTGTGACTCCTTTCAGGGATTCTCAAATTTTCTAGCTGAGGCTTAAATGACCACACATCCACCTCAACCCTGACTCCCCTTATCTGGCTGCTTATCATGTTCTTTTCATTATTACCTCCATTGGTATTGTCATTTCAGCTATTGAATTGTTCTTTTGTTCTCCATTTTCTTACAGCAGATCCCTTACCTGAGCTTGAGAAGCCACCAAGCGTTGGTGCCTCAGAGGGGGTATACCTCAAACAACTACCTCACACTACACCGCCCTTACCGACCAACTGTACCAGGCAGAGTTCGCCACAAGAAAGGGAAGCAGAGGGCCCAGAGCTCAAAAATGACTCCTCAGCATCTGAAAACAACTGTCAGGCAACAAAGGGCAAAAATACCTGGCCCTCGGAGAGTGGCTACATCAGCCCAGCAGCCCAGGGATGTATGAGGGACCTTTCCACTCTGGCAAATAGAGGAGCTCTGCCTGAAAATGGAGTGGTGGTTGAAGTACCCACTTGTGGATCAGAAGGGAAGGGCCTTGGTGGTAGTGGTACAGAAAAGCCACTCTGCCCCAGAGGTAAAACATTGCAGGAAACCATTTCGTGTTCAGGACAGAACCCAGCTACACCTCCCAATGCAGACCCCAATTTGATGGAAAGCACTGTCAGTCAGTTTTCTCCCTTGTACATGCCTGGCCTGGAATACCCAAATTCAGTTGCACATTATCACATCAGTTCAGGCCTACAAGGTCTTGGCCCTGTGATGGAAGGTAAACCCTCAGTATCACATCTTCAGCATTTTCCCCCGAGGGGCTTTCATTCTAACAGCCCTCATTCTGGAGTCTTTCCCCGTTATCGCCCCCACCAAGGAATGAGATATTCCTACCAGCCACCACCTCAGCCTTCCTACCATCACTATCAGCGAACTCCTTACTACACATGTCCACAGGGCTTTTCTGATTGGCAGAGACACCTTCATCCCCTGGGAAGCCCAAGTGGGCTCCCACCTAGCCAGCCTCCCCCTCCAAGACCCCTCTTCTCAGATAAGAATGCCATGGTTAATCTACAAGGCTGTGAGACACTAAATGCTGCCTTAACTTCCCCAACCTGCATGGATGCAGTGGCTGCTAAGGTCGGTGCAACTGATGGGCAGAATCCTGGTCCAGAGGAAGAGAAGCCAGATGAATCTATGGAGAGGCCAGAGAGTCCCAAAGAATTTTTAGACCTGGACAACCATAATGCAGCTACCAAGCAACAGAGTTCATTGTCAGCCAGCGAGTATCTTTATGGGACTCCTCCTTCACCTCTGAGTTCAGGGATGGGGTTTGGTTCATCTGCTTTCCCACCTCAGGGTGTGATGCTACAAACAAGGCCTTCCTATACACCTCACCAGCCGGCCAGTCATCTCCAGCCCAGGGCATATTCTTCCCCTGTGGCTGCTCACCCACCTCACCATCCAGTGGCTGCCCAGCCCAATGGCCTCTCTCAGGAGGGCCCCATCTACCACTGTCAGGAAGAGGGCCTGGGCCACTTTCAGACTATAATGATGGAACAAATAGACACTGGAAGTGGAATAAGGGGACCTTTTCAAGAAACATACAGACCATCAGGGTAAGACTGCATTTGATTTATTTTTTCCCTGAAAAAAAGGAATAGATGATAGTTTTTAAAAGAAAAATGGCCTTAGGAATGAAGATAAACTTTAGTGGTCTTCTGGGACCAAGAGGAGCATGTGAATCGTTGATATGGAGACTTAATGGAAATGTATTAGCCATGAGGTTTGATTTTTATCTTTGACATTTTTTCCCCCTCATGAAAATGAATTGGCATTTAAGTGACTTGTTTAGTTACATTTTAATACTGGAAACATGATGGCCACATTTGTGAGCTGTAGGCAAGGGCTTTAGCGTTGTTTCTGAGTTCATATACTCTGACCAAGGCAAAATAGGTCCCTCAAACCCAGCAGGGCGACAGGACATCATATTCAGGTTTTAATCCTCCTATCAGTTAAAGTTATGAGGCCTAATCATAAAACAAATGTTATCCAACTTAAAAGCCTACAGTCTCCTCCCCAACGCCAACCTAAGGAAACCTTACCTCCAAACCCTCTCCTGCACTTACCATTTTGTCATATTTGTTTTCTACCTCTCTAAATATGTTTGTTTTATTTTTTATTTTTTGCCTTTTTTCCTAAACCATCCTAAAGTAAATTTTAGACATCATGACCCTTTATCCCTAAATACTTCCACATGTATATCCTAAAAATAAGGATCATTGTCCTGGACCACAATATCAAACTATTCATCACACCCAAGGAAAAGGATATTAATAGTATCTAACATAGAGTCCTAATTGCTCCAGTTGTTCCCAAAATGTCTTTTATAGCTATGTTTCTTTGTTTTGATTTTTTACATTCAAGATCTAATCAATGTTTATGTATTTACACTTGGTTATAATGTCTGTTTAGTCTCTTTTACAGCATTCACCCTATCATTGTATTGTTTTCTTTTGTGTTCAAAGAGCCGTGGCCAGTTCTCATGTAGTGTCCCAAATTCTGAATTCTTACTGTTTGATTGTGTTTACAGTCCAGTTAAACACTAAATAAGTGGTCATGTACTTACTACATCATACCCTAGGCTAGAGGCACATAATGCTAGTTTTGTCCCAGTATTGATGATTTCCAGTTTAATTACCTGGATAATTAAGGCAGTAGCTGCCCGAGATTTTCATGATTAAAGAATCTTTTTTCCTTCAATTCTTAACTGTTCCTCTCTCATGGCTATAGAATGCAAATGCATCCAGTCCAGTCACAGTCCTCTTTCCCAAAGACCCCAGCACCAGCAACATTGCAGGAAGAGCTGCCACCACATAAGCCCCCAACACTCTCTCTTGATCAGGTAAGAGGCACCAAAAATTAGAGCTTTCTTTATTCCTGCAGGTGGTAGGAGAGAAGTACATAGTCCCAATCCACATTGGGAATCCACTGATGTGGAGAGCTGACTTAAGTTATACGTGGATTTTCAACTGCACGGTGGGTCGGCACCTCTAACCCCACATTTTTCATGACTTCATTGCTGTTCTGAAAAAAAATATATTTTAATGTGTCCTATTGATACAGGCACTTTTCCCAGAAAGTGCTGCAGGCTCTGTGCTCGAGGTTGACTCAGCAGTGGAAAGATCAAGAGAAGGCCTCTGGAAGTAGCTTCTCTGCTTTTGCCACATGTTCCTTTTTCCTTTACTTAGGTAACCAGCTATTTGGAGATTATTTAAACTTTATTTTTCCAAACTGGCCACCGGCATGTATTTTGATATATCCCTTGCCTATTTTATTTTTTCTACCTATTTGATTTTTGAGGGTCTAGGCAATCAGGTTTTAAAATAATAGTAGCTACTTTTGAGTGCTGCTTCAGTACCTGGCACTGTGCTAAGAGCTTCTACGTGCAGTCTTCTCTCAATAAGTCTCTCCCTCGGCCTCCACAAAGTAGGTGTCAGTCACAGCAGCATTGTCATTCCTGGTGTACACAAAGTCTATAGATACTGGTAGGGTTTGAGTGGGAGGTCCAGCACTTCTGAGCCGCCTCTGGAAGTAAAATGGATGGGGAAACAAAATCCAGCCATTTTCCCAGATTAGAGGAACAGGTCTTTGGCTTATTTAATTTTTTTTTTTTAACAACACAAATGTGAATTTTGTTTAAAACATCCTTGTTTTGCTTTTCCCAGAGCTAGTCCAAGGAGGAAATAACCCCTAAGAAAACAGAAAGCTGCACATGAATACTGGAACATGGAGAATTTCGGGGAACAATCCTCGCCCATCTTTATTCCTGTCACCCTGCCGTGCCCCCTCACAGTGTACCACCTCATGCCATCCAGGAGCTGGAGCCATGCCCACAGCCCTAGAACCACTCTGCTCAAATAACTTAACACACAGCTTGCAAGAGTCCTGGTCAGAGATCTCTTGCATGGCTGGTAGTCAAGAACAAATGAATTGTAGTTAATGATGGCTTCCAGGTCCTGAGACTTGTTCAGGGAAAATCATCTAAAACTTGGGAGGGGCGTACATAAGCATGGAATGGAGTGGTGCTTGTAAACTTTCATGAGCAGCTAAACTCAGGTATATATTTGGGGAAGGAACTACTCATGGTATTGTCTTTGGAGCTGGGTCCAGTTTACAGAATTTTCACGTTGCCTTTTAAAATAATTTTTGTTGGTGATGGTGAATGTATGTACATAAACTGGGAAGGTGGGTAGGAATCTGGAAAAAATGGAAGTCCTAACTCTCGTGGGCACACCACACTGGAGTGATCCTTATCTGTTTACAATCACATCACACTGAATATTTGGGGAACTAGAGAAGAGGGTAGAAAAGAAACTCTTATAAGTCACTGTGTATTCCTCAGTGGCCAGCTGTCCTTTAAGAGTAAAGGCTTTCTTTCCAATCAGCCCAAGAGAGTTTTAGTCCACTGCCCCCTAACTGTTCAGTTTCTCAGTTCAGAGGCAGTCTCACGGCCTTCTAGAAGTTTCCGCCCAGAAGACAGCCTGCCCTCTTGTCTGGTGGCTCAGGTCTTAGACTGGGAGATCAGTGCCCTTCCTGGTTTGCCACCAGCTCTACCAGAGCTGTAAACCAATTTCTGGAATTGGGATCACTGGAGTATTTTCTTCTTAGAAGAGAAAATGATTTATCCTCTTCACAGGCCTGCTGGGACTGTGATCTGGAAGGCATCACACAAAGCTTTCTGGCACAAATCACATTTTGTGGAAGTGACTACTCAGGTTTGTATATGTTAGTATCAATAAAGAAATTGCACAGTTTTGAATAGGGAAAATGTATTCTATAGGTTTACAGTTGGAATTTAGGAATATTTCACTATATATAGTCCTTATTTTAAATGTAAAATAAGTCATGGTGGTTTAAAATAGCTATCAAGAACAAGTTTCGGGGAATCGTTTGTCGTATATGTGATAGGAAACAATTTTACAGTATTAAATTACTTTATTACAGTTTTAGAAGTGAATTACACTGGATTCTCCCTGTTTAGCATTCTGTATTTGATTTTAGTTGAGATGCCACCAAAGTTAGGGCTTATATAAATATCCCACAAAGAAAGAACTAAGGAAAATGCCCTGAAATTAATAGATTTTTTAAAGAATAGCATATTTTTAAGCATGCCTTTGGGATAGTGGAAAAGCTACCAAGGTATATTAATCTGTCCTATTTACTTATAAATTCATCTGTGTGAAGTGCCAATAGAACCTTTCACTCCAATATCCTGATGAAATGTGAAACTGTCATTTAAAGTTTGCTAAACATATGCTATCCTTAGGAAAAGAAACAAATTGGAAACATTTGTTATACAAATGGGCCCCAAGACACAGCTCCAGTATAAGGGAAATTCATACACATAAAGGCATTCTTGTTGACCTGGCAGTGTGGCTCATGGCTCAGGCATGACTGAATTGAGTAGAGAACACAGGTGTCTGCCTCTAAGATACGATGGACAACAATATGAATTTTTCTCTAACAGGCTTTAATTTTAAATTTGGTATGCTTTTAAGTGGAATGAGTTTGGAGGCTATGTTCTCATTCTATCCTAATTTTTGTTAGAAACATATTGTGGGCATAATCTGGTTTAGAGAAATGCAGAGCTCAACATTCTCTGCAAGAAGAGCAGATTAGAAGGTTTGTGGGCAGGTCTCCGCCAGCCCTTAAGCTAGTTCGTGTGGAAGGTAGCATGGTGGAAGTATTATTACTTCTGTTTCTGTGTATGTGCAAAAGCAGGAAGGAGAGGGAAAGACCAGTTGGTCTTTAGAGCTAGCATAGGTCTGGCTAGACCTGGTCTTAGCCCAGAGCATTCTGTCACTGACAGCCTCTCTTTTTACATTAAAGCAGATTTGAGTGAGAGGCCTTTTCTCCTTCCTGAACTAGGAACACACTAACCATAGGTACTCTTCCTTGATGCTAATGCTGTAGGGATTGTTTTGTGCTGAACTCCCTGGAGCATGGATAGGAGAAGAGTGGAAGCAATAGTTGGCTGATATGTACCCTTTCCTTCCGCCCTGGTTGCATTTGAGCAGCTGTGTACACACTGCTTAAGGTAATTGTAATCCTTTCTTCTCACTCCCAGCCCTTTATCTATCCCCTATTGTTAGAAGCTGTGAAGAGTATAGGGAAAAAATCAGTAAATTCTTTTATCCTTAATCTTCCTTCTTGCTAATGTAGAGAGGTGAGGAAATAATTAAGGCAAATGATAGAAAATTGAACTACTGTATTAAATTATCACACTGTGAAAAGGGGCAACAGAAACATGTCAGCCTTGCTGCATCCTGTGTGGAAATTTGGTTGTGTGTTACAGGTACTTCATCCCTGTCTGGTATATCCTGAGCTTTAACTGGCCTTTGAAGTGCAGATATTCTAGAAGCCATCAAGAGCTGTAGGATTATAGGAGTACCTATGATAAACTGCTATAGGCTGCTCATCCACACATTCCCCTAGCAGGCTCTTTTTTTCTGACCTTTTCTTTCTCCTCTGGCACTCTTTCCAAGTGTCTTAAGCAGATGCATTTGCCATCTTCTCCATTAGGGAATGAATGGTGATCATGTAACATGCTATACTAGACAGTGGAGTGTAAGGAGATCCTAAGAAGTTCTGCTTTCAGGCTAGAAGGACTTACACACTGGATCACTGCAGCCTTGTCACGGTGCTGGCGCTCAGTAGTCCCTAAGAAGGTCAGCTGCACTCTGAAGGATGAGTCTCACACCTATTTGATTTTATATTAATGGCTAACCTTTATTGGAGTTGGTAATATTTCCCCAAGACCCAAGAGAAATAAAACATCCAGAACGAAAAGGAGAGCCTTTTGAAAGATTTCTGGTTTGGATGCTTTTCCCCCCTCAGAGTCTGTTCATTTAAAAAATTAGCTATTGGCTAAAATTTATTATGGTATGCATTTGGAGAATAAGGAAGGACAAAATATGCAGATTCTTGTTCATAGAATTTTTCCATCCCAATTTTTAAAAATAAAATGTGAAGTCACTCCATCTCTCCTTAGGTTGGTTAGTTCTTCTGATCGTTTATAGTTCTTCTGATCGTTTATATGAGCTTATTAACAGTAAGCCCAACAGCTGCTCTCAAAAGGCAAACTTTTCCATGCCCATCTTCATTTTTTGTGGTAGTTTGTACCCTTTAGTCCAGTCAAACCTCAGCATGTGAGTGTCAACTTGCCCTAGCCTAGTCCTCAGACCTTGGAAGTGCTTGTCCTGACTAACCATTTGGTGTCTGTGGCACTTATCTGCTGTATCGTTATTTATACTAACTGTTACTGTCCAAAACACAAAATTTCTTTGTTGGTTGAACTTTTTTTTGCTTTTTTTTTTTTAATGGACTTTGAAATCTAGAAATAATATACTGCTCTTAAGACCTGCTTTGAAACTTCACAGGAAGTCTTAATCCAGCAGTCCCAAAGCAAGGACAGTTACATAGTGTCAGAATCCTGGCATGTTTTCAGAGAAACTGTTGTTAAGGAAATGAAAGGCTTAAAGTTTTCTAGCATTATTGCCCCCCTTTGTGTCTGTCAGTCCATTTGCTCTCCCCTCCCCACCACCGGATTCTGCATGGAGTCCAGTTGTAAGAATGAGTGAAGGACTGTTCAACCCTGGGGCTTTCTGGGGTGCAGTATTCCTGCAGACAGCACTGTTCAACACTACAGTGAGAAGATAGTTGGAATTTTGGTTGAGCATGCAGGGGCTCACATCACTGTCTAGGAAGCAAGACTGTGTCTAGGAGGCTTTCTGTGTGAGAAGAAACCAGACCCCCTTTTTCTTTTTGGGTGGGTTGGAATCTACCATGCATCCTTAGGACACTGAGCCATGTCATCTCTCCTATGGATCTGTGCATAAGCTTTGTCTGCAGGCTGAGTTTTTATCCCTCTCTGCTTTGTAGGACCTTTGCTAAACAGACTTTTGGAGAAGCTGTCTCCTGGCTAGTCCCTTTAATTCTGCACCAGGGATTTACTGAACCTTTATGTAGAGATGCCTGATAACCAACTAATTTTCCTGTGCATTGGGGTTGGAAACGGGTATGGATATTTAATAAGTTACTGAAAATGCTGAGCCCCTGTTCACACACTGTGGGACCCCTTTTCCATAGCTGGGATCAGGCACCTCACCCTCCTGCCTTGCACACAGCTCCTGGGAGCCCAGGCCAGTGTCCACTAGCCTGTGGCACACAGGGTCAGGGATTCTTTGTGCCTGCTGCAAAGGCTCTGAACTTTGCTGGCCAATACTGGAAAGGGGAATGGTATTTATTTTTATATTGTGTATATTTTGTCGTGCTCTGCTGATTCCCTGTTTAAGAGCGACACTTACCTCAATAGTTAGTTCAATATTGTGTGTTGGATAATTTTTGGAAAGAACTTTTTAAAAAGCTTTTTGATCTTTGGAGGTCTGTAGATTTATTTCCATATGAACTGGTTATTTTGTATAAAGTACATTCTTAAAATAGCAAGTCTCTGATATGTGTGAGTTGTGTGTGTCTATGTGTCACTTTTATTTATCAGGGCAAACTCCCATCAAAACAGAGGTTTATTCTAGGTCCCAAATGCCATTACCTCAAAAATGCCATCCCAGTCCTGGCCGGTGTGGTTCAGTGGTTAGAGTGTCAGCCCTCGCACCGAGGGGTCATGGGTTCAATTTCCAGTCAAGGACACATACCTGGGTTGCAGGTTTGATCCACAGCCTGCAGTCAGGGCATGTGTGGGAGGCAACCAATCAATGTCTATCTATCTCTCTGTCTCCCCCCTTCCTGCCTCCCTCCCACTCTTTCTAAAAATCAATGGAAAAAATATCCTCCAGTGAAGATTAACAAAAAAGAAAATGTCATCCCAGCCCTGGCTGGTGTGGCTCATTTGGTTGGAGCATAGTCCTGTGCACCAAAGGGTCACAGATTCGTTTCCTGGTCAGGTTCAGTAAATCCCTGGTGCACATACCCTGGTTGCGGATTTGATTCTCAATCAGAGTGTGTATGGAAGGCAATTGGTTGATGTTTCTCACATCAGTCTTTCTCCCTCTCCCTTTCTCTCTCTGAAATCAATAAGAAATATCCTCAGGCCCAGCCAGCATGGCTCAGTGGTTAAGAGTCAACCTATGAACCAGGTCACGGTTCAAGTCCTGGTCAGGGTACATGCCCAGGTTGTGGGCTCGATCCCCAGTGTAGGGCATGCAGGAAGCAGCTGATCAATGATTCTCTCTCATCATTGATCTCTCTCTCTCTCTCTCCCTCTCCTTCCCTTCTGCTCTGAAATTAATAAAAATACTTTTTTTAAAAAGAAGAAGAAGAACATATCCTCGGGTAAGAATTTTTTTAAAAAGTCAGGCCAAGATGGCGGCGTAGGTAAATGCCAGTACTCCATCACTTCCCACAACCACGTCAAAATTACAACTGAAATACAGAAGAACTATCATTCAGAACCACCTGAAATCTGATTGAATGGAAGTCCCACAACTAGAGAGGTAAAGGAGAAAGCATATTGAAACTGATAGGAGAGATGGAATGGGCTGGTCCAACACCCACATGTGGTTTCTCCCTTCCCCCTCATTGGGAGGGATATCTCAGCTGCAGAGGCCTCCCATGAGGAGTAAGGGGTTCCAGTCCCACATCAGACCCCCAGCCCAAGTTTCCAGAGCTCGGAAGAGAAGTCCTTGTAAATTGGGGCTGTAAAAACCAATAGGAATTGTGGCTGTGTAACAAGGAGACTGCTGGAGACCCAGACAGTTCCTCTTAAAGGGCCAACATACAAACTTAGATGGACCCACTGGCAGCAGCTTGGGGAAATCCAGGGACATACAGGGAAGAATTGGATTGTCTGGCATCAGGGCATGAATTTAGGGGCAGCTTTCTCCCAGACAGGTGGTTTCAGGAGTCATTGTTCCTATGCTGGCCACCTCCCTTCACAGAGCTGTCTGGCAACCATATGAGTTTCCATCAGCCTGCCTCACACATTCGCTTGCCCTGGGGATTCCATGAGATCATCTCCCCATCTAACTTGCAGTCCAAACTGCAGCTGCTTTTCCGTATGAATGGCCTGTCCTGGCTTAGACTTAAGACTTTCCTAAAATCTCTCAAGCAGTAGCTGGTGTCAGTAAGATCTGACACTAGCAGCAGCCTGACTTCATAGCTTGTCCTCGTCTGGGCACTTCCAAGCCCAACACAAGTAGCAGCAATCTGCAGATCATTCTAGCTCTGGCCCGGTGGCCCCAGGCAGTGACTGACTGCACCTTCCAGGATGCCCCAAAGCCAGTGCACCTGGTGGACAGCTTCACACCATACCAGCTTACAACTCCACATCCACAAGCAACACACTGAAGGGGCAGACTCAGTGAGCACCAATGCCCCACTGAAGCAAGTCCTGCTCCATAGGGGTATTCCCTGCACAGCAACTCTTCCATTTTGGTTGCAGCAGGTCCTCACAGCCAAATGGCCTGGAGGTCAAATTCTCCCAGTGATGCCAACAGAAATCAAGGCTCAACTACAAGACTGTGCTACACAACCCACATAGAGGTGCATCTAGAATGCCATCTGAGGTGATTGGGGAGATCCACTGGGCCCTACAGGACACCTACTACACAAGGCCATTCTACCAATTCCAGGAGACATAGCAGGTCTACCTAATACATAGAAACAAACACAGGGAAGCAATCAAAGTGCAGAGACAAATAAACATTTCACAAATGAAAGGACAGCCTGGCCAGCCCAGTTGAGCATCCACCTATGAACCTGGAGGTCATGGTTTGATTCCTGGTCAGGGCACATGCCCGGGTTGCGGGCTCAATCCCCAGTGGGGGACATGCAGGAGGCAGCCAACCAATGATTTTCATTATTCATGTTTCTACTTCTCCCTCTCTCAAATCAATATGTGTGTGTGTGTATGTATGTATGTATGTGCATATGTGTATATGTATATGTATATGTATATTTGTATATGTGTGTATATGTGTACATGTATATATGTGTGTGCATATATATATATGTATATATATATATATATATACACACACACACTAGAGGCCTGGTGCACAAAATTTGTGCATGAAACGGGGTCCCTCAGCCCAGCCTGCACCCTCTCCAATCTGGGACCCCTTGGGGGATGTCCAACTGCCAGTTTAGGCCCAATCCTGCTGGCAGTCGGACATCCCTCTCACAACCTGGGACCACTGGCTCCTAACCGCTCACCTGCCTACCTGAATGATCACCCCTAACTGCCCTCCCCTGCCAGCCTGGTTGCCCCTAACTGTCCTCCCTTGCCAGCCTGGTCACCCCTAACCGCCTCTGCCTCAGCCCCTGCCACCATGGCTTTATCCAGAAGATGTCCGGTCTAATTAGCATATTACTCTTTTATTTGTGTGTGTGTGTGTGTGTATTTTAAGAAGAGAAGAAATCCCCAGTGGGGAAACTAAAAGAAATGGAAGAAAACTACTAGACACAAGAGTCCAAAACAATGATTATAAGGATGCTCAAGGATCTTACTGAGAGAGAACTTTAAGGGACTTAGTGAGACTTTCAAGGATCTTAGAATTTCAAAGACATGAAAAAGGATCTGTCAGAAAATAAGCATACATTAACTGCAATAGTAATTTACAGGGATTCAACAATAGAGAAGAGGATTCTGAGAAATCAACGATTTGGAATAAGAAGCAAAAAAACACGCAAGCAAAAGCAAAAAGAATCCAAAAATATTAAGATAGTAGGACAACTTCAAGCCTACCAACATTCACATTATGGGGGTGCCAGAAGGAGAAGAGCGAACAAGATATTGAAAACCTATTTGAAGAAATAATGATGGAAAGCTTCCCCTAACTGATAAAGAAGTACATTTACCAGTCCAGGAACCACAGAGTCCCAAACAAGAGCAACCCAAAGTGGCCCACACCAAGACACATCATAATTAAAATGCCAAAGCTTAAAGACAGAATCTTAAAAGCAGCAAGAGAATAGCAATTAGTTACCTACAAGGGAGCACCCATATGAATGTCAGCTGATTTCTCAACAAAAATGTAGGCAAGAAATACTCAAAAGTAATGAAGGACCTACAACCAAGATTATTCTACCCAGCAAAGCTCTCATTTAGAATTGAAGGTCAGCCTGGCCAGCGTGGCTCAGTAGTTCAGCATTGACCTATGAACCAGGAGGTCAACAGTTCAGGACACATACCTGGGTTTCTGGCTTGGTCCCCATTGGGGAGTGTGCAGGAGGCAGCCAATCAATGATTCTGTCTCATCATTGATGTTTCTATCTACCTTTTCCCTTCCTTTGAAATCAATAAAAAAAAATTTTTTTAATTGAAGGTCAGATAAAGATCTTCACATACAAGAAAAAACTAAAGGAGTTCACCACCAAACCAGTATTACTTGAAATGTTGAAAGGTATTCTTTAAGAAAAAGGGGGTGGGGGGAGGGGAGGAAGAAAAAAGATAAAAAATATGAACAATAAAATGTCGAATACATATCAACAACTCAATCAAAAAATCAAAATAAATTAACAAGGAATCTAATGAACAAAATAAATGAATAAAATAGAACCAGTGGTAAGGGAACATGGAATAGACCTGAATCTCAGAGGGAAGGGGAGGGGGAAAAGAGATCAACCAAAAAACTTATATGCATATGTGCATCACCTATGGTCACAATAGGGTGATGAAGGCCTGGGATGGGCAGGAACCAGGTGGAGGTGGGGGAAGAGGGGACATCTATAATACTCTCAACCATAAAGATTTTCTTTTTAAGTCATCCCACCCTAGCCTCACTTATTCAAGGTAGATGGTATCAGTTGGCATGGGAGCTGTGGACCCTGTCAGTTAATAGTTCTGTGTGCTCCAGAGAACTTAAGAACAGTAATAAAACACTGGCAGTTCTACACAATATACATTAACCACCACCCCTCGCCCCCATACCACCCACACATTCCCAGCCCTTGATACATCATTTTAAACACACCTTAATGCACTAATTTTGATCTCCTTCCAAAATCTAGGGCCTGGTAAGTAAAGTTGATAATGGGGTAACAGTGGGGAGCTCTAGCCTGGAGCCATCTGAATTACACATGGCCAGAGTGGGAGCTACAAGTTAAGTAAGCAGATACTTTTTTACCTACCCATTTTATTTATTTATTTTTATTTCCAAGGGAGGGTTTTAATTGGGGGAGGAAGAGAATAGTTATAGCCTTGAGACACCAAAATTCCTGGCCTTGTTTAGCCTTAAATAATTCACCTTGCACAATAGTTGCATTCAGTAAAAAGTCTATCATAGGCAATACCAATTTCTCAATCTATTGTTCACTCCTAGGGCAATGGTAGATCTTTCCATCTTGACCGCCAGTTGTTTGGTATCAAATTATCCCACATTATTTTTCAGATTTTCCTCCTATTGTTATCTTTAAAACCGTGTTCCCATTTCATTCTCCCCTGAAAAACATCCTATCTAATAAAAGACAGATGCAAATTGACCATACCTTCGCTACACCCACCAGCCAATCAGAGTGATATGCAAATTAACTGCCAACAAAGATGGCAGCTAATTTGCGTACTGCAGGCTGGCCGGGACAGCAGGAGCAGCCATCCAGGCCCCCATGTGTGTGGCCCTGGGTGGCAGGGCTCAGGCAGGCGCGGTGATCGCGGGGGCCCCGCCCCGTGT